ATAGTGACCAGTAGTTGCTGTACCTCCAGTCAATCAATAAACATTAACAGCCTTCATAACATACCTTCACGATTCTTACAGTACTGTGCAGAAGTCTTGAGTCACCCTTGATTTGTTTATATCTTGATTCGAAGGAGCCATTTTTTCAAAGTGGTATTGAGCAATAGTTCTTCAGGTTTTTCGGAAGTCATTGACAACTTTCCTTTGGACGTTGGTTCTTTACTCCTTACTTATTTTGAGGCCAGTTTGTTAAGCGACTTAACAAACTTATGAGTCATTTGACACCCCCTTTCTCAACGAGAAGTTTGGGGTTGGGTGAGCCTGAGTGCTGAAGATATCTACCTATTCGGAACCATGGTAACAGGGTTCTGGCTGATCGGAGCTGGCTTGGCCCTGACTTATCGAAGAATTAAGAAAGCGGAACTGGCTGTTCAAACCCCCACAAGGCTGCCCGCTGGGATTGGAATGATGGGAGAAGCGTGAGTTTCTCAAAATGGGCTCGAGTCAGCACGGATAAGATCTTGGAGAGGCTACGGCTGCTGTGAATACTCAGAATAAGATCTCTGACTGCAGACTGGATACATCTCGGAAGGGCTAGCCCAGAATAACATCTCTCTGGGCGCAAATTGGATAATATCTCGGGGAGGCACACTGCCGTGAGTTCTCAGAAATTGGCTCCTTGAGCACAAGAAATGACAACATCACAGAACGCAAGTATGGCGAAGCTCGCGGCTCTCCAACGGGAGATTGAGAGACCAGTGTTGGACTGTAGAACTGCTTTGAAATTCATATGAGCTGTTCGCACTAAAGTAAAAAATACCATCACTTATGTGCATACCCCTTTGGCGCCAGCTGCAAGGCCGGAGCTGAACAAAACAGTTGGAAAACAAACAGCAATAACGACACCTACTGCACCTCTTTTCTTCTTATTTGAAATTAACCTGGACTCGTGGCGTGACAAATAAGGAGGTGGATAAATGGGTGTTTAGGTGTGTGTTTAACCTCCCATGTGACTGAAGAGGCAGAGAGCCAGAACAAGTGTTGGCTGCTGCAGAAGACAGGAGACAGCTACAAAAGCAACCTCGGTAGCCAGCCGAGATCCAGCAGCTAATGTGTTTCTCCGTGTTTTCTTCAGATAACCAAAGCAGGGAGGGCCACATCCCTCGTCCCAGTAGACCTGCATTTTCCCAGTGGCTAGACATTACAGAGTAGACAGAGATAGATATATAACCAATCATTTTGATACCAAGCGGCACACATAAACACGCTGACCGGTGAGATTCTTTCCCTGGTCAGCCTTTTACTCTGCTGCTATCTACTTCCCTGGAGACCTAAATCAATTTCTACCAAGACCCCAATGCCAGGTGCTGTGGGAATCTGAGAGTGTTTAGGCTTGTGCTCAGCTAATTTTGGCACCAAGAGGCCTCCTTAATCAATAATCTACCCTGTGCAGGAGCTGAGGAGATTGCTTCGGTATTTCTTTCAGCTGCTTTCTCACTGCCAAGGAGGACACAAAGCTTTTCCGCTTGTCCCGGTTCCATCTGAAGGGTCACTTCTTTGTGATTTTCAGGATTAAGCTGTCATTCAATCACAGTGCCGCAGTAGACGTTTCAGGTAGAAAAAGTGATCATTGTCTTACCGCACAACATTTAGAAGAGACGGTCATTGTCTTCCAGCAGAAATCAGTAATAACACCAGAGATTATGCAGATTTTCAGAGCTGTTCGACAGAAAATTTCCACAAGCTAGTTGTAAAGACGCACAGAGGGGAGGCAGGGCTGAGCGTGAAAAACAGGGCATCACGCTCTGCACTCCTGTCTTCTCAGATCATCTGTGAAGCAAATGGCCTGTCACCACACTAGCTGCATCAGTGTGAGCATATTTAACTGTCTCTGCTGTCAACAGACTGTAAAATGGAAAGCGCTGATAACGTTGGGATACTAACAGGTATAAAGAGACGGCCGCGGGGATGCTAGACGCTTATCTGCTCCCCACAAGCCTCCGGTCGGAAAGCCCGGGACGCTTGGTGCTGTAATGTGATTTGAGCAACACTCGTGTTTGATTGCCTCATCAGATTTGTTGGCTTTGAAACTAATGAGCAGCACACGCCAAGCATGCAATGCTGATGGTTGTTGGAAACATGTGATGATGATCGGAGTTGGGGTATGTAAGCTGGAGCTGGCGTTTTGGAAGCATGGATATCAAGAGGGAACTTTGTTATCATGTGTTTGTGAGCCATTAAAATAGATTTTTATCTAAGCTCTATGCTCTTTTTATAATCCGCATATTTCTCTAGCAAAAATCCAGTCATACCTGAAGCCATCCCCTCACAGTTACTCCTGCCTGTTGTGAGCTGAGCCATTGCAGGCCTCTGATGCAGGCTGCTGTGCACCTGAATGATAAAAGCTTTGCTCAAGGGCATTTTACAGACAGTAGCAGAGAGGGGGGGGAAAGGGAATTCTGACTGCCTGCTTTCTACTCCCTCTTTCTGAGGGGTCATACTGCCGTTTTTCTATTATGATATGATATAACAGTGTCTGCCATTTCTATTCTTCCTCTATCTTTTGTTTCCTAACTGGACAAGCCTCTGTCTGTATCCTCTCTTGTTCCAGTCTCTGGCTGATTGATGGGCCAAGTAATGGCCCTCCACACTGACACTTTTATTTGCAGAATTTACAGGCAAGCAGCACCTGCTGCGGGCAGATGGTTCTATCATCTCCTACAGTAGCCAGATGAGTTCATGTTTCACAAGGTACATATGGGCGCCATTTTAATCAGAATTCAGGTTAGCTTTTCAGCTGGCCTACTGCTTGCACCCATGTTTAAGAATCTATCCGTGTTTGCAATCGCAGGAGTGCTGTGCATAAACATAGGAACAAGAGTGGAATTTATGGACTGCATATGTCCCTGTTCCTGTACAGAGTTATTAGCCATGTAAATCCAAGATTATGACATAATCATGTAATTTCAGCCCGTCTGTTCGCTAAACTAGTTCCAGCAACGACAGTAGATGGTCCTCAGCTCTGCAGAGCAAACCAAACAGTAGCAAGAAAGTACTCACATGTAATATCTAATGAAATAAAGGGTATTCAATTGGGATTTTGCCCCCTGCGTCATTTTTACTATATGAAACCTAACACTTGTTCTTTAATGATTTCAAAAAGTAATGTTCATTTTTCCTCATGTTTGCTCATTGCATCATGTTTTTTCACAAGTTTTCTTGTGCTATATTTGTGGATGTTTCACTACATCCAAACAGGATGAAACCGTCACAGATTCTGTGGAGAAAAAGGTGTGCTTATTTTAGCATAAAAATGGCGAGCAAGACAAGTCATGGGCACTTTCAGTTTGCCAGGTTGTGTCGAAAACCGAGTGTGGGCTATGGGAAGACAAAGAACTTTGGGTTTTGGTGGCATGGATGGAGCCACAGAATCACTGTGATACTTTGGTTAAATCAGTATTTCTGGATACAGTTCAAAAACCAAATCATCTGTCAACTAAATTCAATTTTACTTATGTAGAATGAAATCACATTAGTAGTTGCCTCAAGGCACTTTATATCGTAAGGTAAAGATGCTACAACAATACAAAGAAAACCCCAACAATCAAACTACCCTCTATTAGTTAGTACTTGGCGACAGTGGGAAGGAAAAAATGCCTTTTAACAGGAAGAAACCTATAGCAGAGCCAGGCTCAGGGAGGGGCCATACATCTCCTGTGACCAGTTGGGGGGTGACGACAGTTACTTAGTTACGCTAACCTGCCATCACAATGAGACCTGTATCACATTTAGATGATGAAAACCAATAGAAATACCAACAGAAATATTTCTGTTGGCTTATTTGATGAGAGAGAAGCGTCTTATTATATTTTGTCTCCAGATGCACACCGTTCTAATGATGAGGACTTTGAAGATCCATCTTCTAATAGCTCATCTCTCCCCTAGTTATTCATTTAACCAGGGTTAAATAACCAAGAATGAGTTTTGGATCTGCCAAACGAAGCAGTTGAGTTGCTTCAGTCTAGGCTTAGTGAGGAAAACCTCTTCCTAGCAACCAGATTTTCTTTTTGTAGGCATCATGTGAAAAGTCTTTGAAATGGTTGATGCCTCTGACTATTGTTTTGATGCTGAATGTCTTTTGGGTACAATGGGCTGTTCACTGACAGGTCAAAAGCAAGCTTAAGATGTGCCCTACAGCATAATGGCAATTACTTTGCACCCATACTAATTGATCATTTTGTCCAGTTAAAAGAAACCTACAAAAATATGAAAATTGTACTGGAGAGGCTGAATCACATTTTATGAATCAGCTGAAACTACGTACAATAATTGGACCACTTTGTTGTTTTAATGCTTTGATATTTTTGAACTCGGATAATAATGACTATTTTCCAGAAAACATTTTTAAGCAGGTCTGAAGCAGCTTGCAGCCTTCATATTTTCAATTAAAATAATTAGTTGATTTTTATTTCAACATAACTGTAAAATTCAAGTTAACTTTAATGTTAGTTGCTGTGGAGCTACCTGGACTACTCCATTTTCGGTTTGTGGATGCTTCAGTTGTAAAAGTTTCACTCTGTAAAAGCTTGTTTTTACAGAGTGGGTGGGGACACAGTTGTGAGCAAACGTAGTTATCTGCTACAGGTCTTCCGGTATAGCCATGCCAAGTAAATGGTACTCAAAGGCAATCTGGTATATTTTCACAAGCAATCTTGAGGCTTTAAACTGCTGAAACTGTTGCAGCTTCTTCTCATTGGATTCATTTTGAAATACATAAAGCTGCTGAAGGTCAAGAAGGTGCAAAGTATGCACTTAAAACTGCCCTCTTTATAGATCTCATGTGTGAATGTGAGTAATCATGAAAACTGCTCTTTCTCAATGAATGAATGTAAACATTATGCTGTGTTGTGACATAATCTTTACTTTGCCGGTCTAACGGAGTAAAATACACTCCTTGTAATCAGTTTATTTGATATATCTCCTTCTCTCTCTGCTCCTAGCTATCGGCGAGCCGGTCAAGTTGGAGTGGTATAACCCCCAGGGCGAGCGCATCGTGGCCTCTAAGCGAATGGCGCTCCACACAGAAGCATCCAGATCCAAGCTCGTTATTTATAATGCCATCATCGAAGATGCGGGTATCTACCGCTGCCAGGCCACCGATGTCAGTGGTCACACTGAGGAGGCCTCCGTTGTGCTGGAGATCTACCGTAAGCTTGATAACACACACACTAGCTGACACATTTACCCACAGATGCTCTGTGTTTGCTTCCTAAGGAGATTGGAACATAAGGACACAAAGAGAATAAACATCTCACATTAGCTTTTGATCACCAGGACAACCAGCTGATTCATATTCTCTCTACCCTCTCCACAGCCGCAAGCTGCGTTAGCTCTCTGTGTGTGCACATGCATCTTAGAAACCTAAGATTTCTAAGATGCATGTACCTTTGTGTGTGACTGTGTGAGTTAGACTGATTCTTGTGATTAAATTATAATGACGGCTAGCAATGCCACAGGATTTAGATCCTGTCAGGAATAATGAGAGATCGGGCACTGACTTACCTGCCTTGCTGACCAATCACTATTTCCTGGGAAAAAACTTAATGTTTTGCCCAGGAAATAGTGTTGGTGTTTATAGACCTTTTTTTTTTTTTTTTTTACTGATTCCATTCTAGCAGTAATCAGTGAATTTGCATCTTTAAATTGTTGTTCAGCAAGACATCCGACTGAAACCCCACTAGCTTATTGCTGTGATTTAATTTAGAAATAAAACGAGAAAAACATGTTGGTTTCACTAAGATCATCTCCTGGAGCAGGGAGCTTTGTGCAACTTAGGGAAAATTATAATGTAGATCTAAAAAACACAAACACATGTTTTATGCGGATTTAAGTGGAAAGGAATTCAAGCTAACAAAGCCTGACAGGCATAAAATAGCATTTTTACACCAATAAAGTGATTCCCAGAACTATTAGCTGGAAACTTGGCATATGTGCGGTGTGTACTTAAACAGTTTTGGGACACTGGACAAGTGGAGGACAAAAGAAGTGTCAAGCCTAAAAACAACTATCTACAGCAGATGAACTGTGCCTTAAAGTCATGTCCTTAAGAAAAGGACATAAATAAGAAAAGACCAGCAAAAACCCAACACAGGACCTGAGAGATGCATCTAGCCCTTCAGCTGATCCATCCACTGTTCACTGAAACATCATGAGAAAGTATTTCAGTGGAAGGGTGGCTGTCAAGGAAGGGAAACTGGGAGAAAAGGCTGATTATCAGTGGCAACAAGTCTGATGGCGCGATGAATCCAAACTGGATATTTTTGATTCAGAAATCATCAGTTTATAGAGAAGAATTCAAGTGACAGGTACAACAGTGAGGGTCTACAGCCATATGTAAAACACGGTGGAGGCTCTGTCATGGTTTGAGGCTGCGTTTCAACCACCGGTGTTGGAGATCTTGCCAAAATTGATGAATTATAAAGACAGAACTGTATCATCAAATTTTGATCAACCATGCAGTGCCATCTGGAAAGTGTTTCATTAGCATTAGTTTTGTTTTTTTGTTTTTTAGCAGGAAAATGATCCCAAATGCACTACCAGTGTAATAAAAGCACACCTGGATAGAAAAAACACAGTGGTACACTATCAGTCGTGGATCGGCCTCCCCAGAGGGCCCGGTGGCGCCAGTGTCCGGCAGCCTCGCCTCTGTCAGTGTGCCCCAGGGTGGCTGTGGCTACAATGTAGCTGCCATCACCTGTGTGTGAATGGGTGGATGACTGGATGTGTAAAGCGCTTTGGGGTCCTTAGGGACTAAGTAAAAGCGCTATCCAAATACAGGCCATATCTATGGCTGTATCTGTGAGTAGAATTAGTATTAGCCTGGTAATTACTGCTATTCAAGAGAATTTGGTGTCAAATCAAGGTGTGAAGTCATTTAGTGCAACACTTTAAAGTGGGTTATAGAAATCCAAGTTTTTTTATTAATCTATTTACAAAATGCTTGCGAGAGCAGGGTTTATATTAAAAAAAAAAGATCATAGGTAGAACTCTCTCTGTTCGCAGGTGAGAGGACAAAGATTCCAAAAGCTACAAGCACAAAAGATTACATAAGAGCCAAGTGACCTCTGAGGTGTGAGTCTTTGATCAGGAGTCTACACAAAGTTTAATTGGAGAAAATGTCAAGGTACATGGATTTGATTCCAGAGCTCACTCACACACACAGTTATATGTACACACACTCTGGAAATCATCACCTGCTGTGTGGCTGCCTTTTCATCCTCTCCCAGCGAACCATTAGGGGAGACATCACAGCTTCAATCACACCTGCCACCACTCAGCCTTTGCCTCATTCAACACATAACCAATTCCCCAAAATCATTGTTTCCATGGTAACCAGGCATCACTCACTGGGGTCCTCAGTGTAGATTCCATGAGCAGCAGGCGGATGAAAACCACCCTAAAATCCAGCCAGGTGTTCTGCCAGCACACAGTCGGAACAGGCGAGGACTCCTCTGCACGGTGCACAGACCTGCGTGCTGCAACATGTTCTACATGAAATTCATGACCTGTGGGAGACCAAGTGTTGACATCTTCTCCGCAGTTGCTGACTTCTCTATGATGGCCAGATGTAATCATGCAGCACGGATTGTCAGATCAGTTTGGAATTAAAAGCTGGTCCACAGTCTGATGAAGTTCATAGACAAACAAAGCAGTAGCTAGCAATGAGTTAGTGGCCAATCTTGTGCTAACTCACATTAAATTTAGTACACACATGTTCCCTGAGATGGCAACTAATTAATTCAGGGATCCTCTGATTCAGTTTTTTCCACCAAAGCCACAGTGAGGTTAGTGTTTCTGATTTTAATTAGAACTGTAAAATCTAAAAGCAAATCTTGCCATGAAATTTTGACATTTGAGTCCTAAACAACAAGAAAAGTTAAGTAACCAATTTGCTTTTTATCTATAGTCATTTCAAAATTTCTGCTTCTTATGCACTATGGTTTATGGCCAATTAGCTACAGAAAGTGATACTTGGGAAATTTTAGCAAGATAACATATTTAACACTGATGCTCTCCATAAGAACATTATCTGGTTAGCATGTACATTTGTCAGCGTGAGAATGTAGCATGCTAGGATTGCCATTTAAGCAAAAACATTGCTGTTCTGTGTGCTGTGCCTGCTAGCTTGATTTCTGTTAGTACTCCAGTGTAATGCAGTATGGTTGCTACTATATTAGCACTACAGTTTGAGCCACTCCTTTTTTTTTTTCATTTTCTGAACAAGTAGCTAGTCATATTTGTGGAGGTTTTTCAAAGTTGTCTTTAGTGACTGCCAATAAGCTATCGTATTCTTAAGGGAGAGAAATAGGGTAAATTACAAAGAAACAGACTTAAAATGAGTTGCAACAGGTCTTATGGACTGATGAATCCAATCGTGGTGTTGGAGATCTTGTGAAACTGATGGAATTACAACCACAGAAATGTACCATCACATTTTGATCCAACATGCAATACCATCTGGAAAGTTTCTGGTTGGCAAAAATAATCCCAAACACACTGGGAATTCAGCAAAATCAAAGCTGCATAGAACAACACACAAAGGAACACTATCAGTGATTGACTGGCCTCCCCAGAGCTCGGACCTCAACATTATTAAAGCAGCATGGAATCATGTTGGCAGATGAACAGTTAAACTTTGAATGTCATTCAAGAAACCTGGAGAACTCAGTCAGCTGTCACATTTCGTGAACGTATGCAACTTCTTTAACAGTAAATTCTTCTACTAATGAAGAATGACGACATGCAAGGTCACATGTAACACATGTTATCTAGCTGTTAGCTAGGTAGCATAGTAATTGTCATTCTCATGTCCTTTTACTCACCGAAAATAGTTAGTAATCCCTCCTCTGTTGCCGACTAAAATGGGATCCATTAAGGCCTATAATAGTGTTCCACCCTCCACACCATCAGGGTATTTATATTGTACTGCAAGCAGTTTACCTGTACTTGTTAGCATAACCAGACTTATGCAGTCAAAATAGTATAAGTAATGTAAGCATCAAAGTGATTCTTATTTCAAGATAAACCCTTTACTGTCACAAAATCATGAAAACCTATTTTGGTGGCAAAAGCCGCAACATCAATTAGCTGGTGTAATATGGTGCTGTTTTCAACTGTATTCAGTGACAGAAAATTCATAGTCATTATAGAGTGAGCCAGTACAATGTCTAAGCCTTTCATTTCCTGTTAGTTTATTAATGGACAACGCAATAATGCTGCACAAGCTCATTTTCCAAAACCAGCTAATTTGGCCGGAACACACAGAAACAAATCTGTCTCACATTTGAGGCAGGTCCAGGGAAATTGGCTCGTCAGCTTATCAGACAGTTATCTTTGCAGTGATGTGTCTACGAACGACAGCAAAGAAACTCCAGAGTACTGAGTACATTCTCAATTCGCCAGTGTCAAGTGTGCAGTAGAGTGTTACTCCAGAGAGGATGTTTCCCTTACTGATTCTCTTGTAGAGCAGCACGACTACAAAAGAGACAGGAAATGGATACAAACAGAAGGAACAAGTGACACCAGAATGTTTAAACCTGAGAGGGAGGCAGAGGGGGAGAAAGCAGATTTTGCAAATAAAAAGAACACATATGGAGGGGAGGGTGGATGATAAGAAGCCTACGGAGTGAATGACAAAATCACGCAAAGGCATCCTTGAAGTTAATGAAGACACTGAGATGCCAGACACGTTCACAGGCGGAGGATGCAGCCGGGGAGTGAAAGCTCATTTTGGGGAGCAGCCTGGCATAAATCACAGAGCAAAATGCTAATGCTGAAGCCTCACTAAGGGAAGGGACTGATAGAGGAGCTGTAGCTGATTTATTCACACCCTCACAATATAGCACGCAGGTGATAGCAGGTGGTTGCGGCGCTAGCAGAGCCAGCCCGAACACACATCAAAAGCCAAGGAAAGTGGGGTTTGACGAGAGCTCGCGTGAGATCTTTGTGGGGAAATGCTGGTCCAAGAACGGCGTCCTCGTAAAACACCCAATGTTTGCCAGGAAGAGGACACAGCTTTAAACAAGCACCAAGGGGAACCTATTAAAGAATGCTGAAACCAAGATGGAGTGAATCAAAGCCTGCCTGTGCTTTTGTCAAATTTTGCAAACAGTAAGGCTGCAGAATAACTCTGCTCATTGATTCTTTT